TAAAGAAAACATCATTTTAATGAGTAGACTCATCTTTAGAAATCTCAAGTTTCCAAATGCCATTTACTTCAGAAAATACATGGCAACTTCCTCTCCCCCCTTTATCCTTTCCTTTAATCTTTTAGCTTTTTCAGTACAGTTATTTTATGCTGTAGAAATGTGACCCATATATTTGCTGTTTCTCTAGGTAGTTCTAAGGTCTTCAGATGATGGTTACAGTCAGCAATTTACAAAACTAGAAAACTTGCAGCTATAGATGGCAAGGTAGGCAACGTATAATACAATTATATTTAATATTTCAGTCTTGACATCTAAAAGTTCTACATAACCCCAGTACAGTTATTTTATGCTGTAGAAATGTGACCCATATATTTGCTGTTTCTCTAGGTAGTTCTAAGGTCTTCAGATGATGGTTACAGTCAGCAATTTACAAAACTAGAAAACTTGCAGCTATAGATGGCAAGGTAGGCAACGTATAATACAATTATATTTAATATTTCAGTCTTGACATCTAAAAGTTCTACATAACCCATAACCTTAAACCAGACTTCTCAAATGTGATTCTAAGGTGCATCATGCACTTCAGAAATTTTCCAAAATAATCACAACCACTAGATAGCTGTGCCTCATCATCAATATATTTGTAATAACACCTAATGCTATGAGCTAAGTGACTTCTGTTGATGATCTAGTTGTTCTGTAACTTTCCATGGGACTTCTCCTTGGTTCTTTTCTCTGTATCACCACAGTGGAATACACTGAACTAAAATTAAATGATGTTCAGAAACCAATCTAAACCTCCAATACTTATCCTACTACTCTTAAAAGTCTATCTTTTTGTCTCTGCTTCTTTTCTCTGGTTAATGTTTTTTGTTTGTTTGCTTTTCAGGAGCTTTTGGCATTGCCAAGGTGTACTCTGTACGCCCAAGATAATACGCGGGTGTCTGACTTTCCCTCATCCGATAAGTGGTCCTCCAGGATTTCTGGTTGAAGATGCTGCAGAAGGTGGGATAATTAGAGCCAAGACACTACTCAAAAATTCCATATTTTTTTTTCTTGAAGCCCATTTAGGCATAAGCACAGACAGAAAAGTATTATCTGTCTGACTTGAGATTTCAGAATAAGAAAGAGCATTTTCCAGAAAAAATCTATGCAGAGCTCACCCAGGAGCTGTAGTGGCAAAACACTAACAGCAGATTTGCCTTTATGTCTTTCCGTTGCCTCCTAGAAACTTCCAGCTGGAGCAGTTACCTGACCAGGAGAAAGCTGACAGCCTGTAGCACAACGTGTTCACCTGGAGGAAATACACCAGCCAGGAGAAAAAGACAGTCCTGCGGTTCATACTCTTTGGTAACATGCAATAGGCTGGTGACTCCTTCAAACTCTGATGTCCTTGAGTTGTTCTGGAGCTGTTCTTGAAGCCTTTTCTATGTTCCCTCCCATCAGACTTAGGTTTCCTGACTCTGAAGGATTATTTCTTTTGGATGCTCCACAGCCTTAGTCAGTCACTGGAAACTCCATTGTGATTGAAGTGGGATGGATGATGAGTGACTGGATGTTAACAAGTTCCCATTCATTTCCTTTTGTGAACTGTGAACTTTAGTGAACTTTTTTAGACTGTTGAGAGAAATATGGATGTCTAGATTCCTTTTCCATATATCCTGTCTAAACAGTGCAATGAACTCAGCTCTTCTGCCATCATTGATAAGGTTTCCACAATCAGTTCTTTCCAAGAACTTGAATTGCCTTTATAAATATCTTCTAACCCTCTCCCTACTCCCCTCCCCAGTTATTTTGCTTTCAGCACTCTCCAGTTGTACCTCCTTGTGAAGGGGCAGCACGCACAACCACACTACACCAGGAATGACTGGCCTTCAGTTATTATTTAGCTGTTGTTTGGTGTGGGGGTGTGGGGGGTGTTTTGTTTTGTTTTAACAGATTTTTTTAGCTGGAAGGTTAAAACCAAGCAGTAGTTGTTCAGTTCACAGTAGCCACCTTTCCTCAGTTGAGGCTCTAACCTGGATTTCTTTCTACTCTGTAGCTGATCTTTAGAAAACTTGTTGGAACTGAGAATCTGAGACCTGGATCAACTGTCATTTTTGTTGGAACTGATCGACAGACTTAAAAGGATTAAGATGGGGAGTGGGATGTTTGCAGAAGCTGGGGGTTTTTTTGGAGGGGGGGTGTCTTCTGTTTTTAATGCCTCTGCTTTCTGGACCTATGCACTTTACATTGCTGAGATTGCCCTGTGTTATTCTACATTTTGTCTTTCAGAGCAGTGTAACAAGAGCAACAAACTTCATCTGCTGTTGTGGAGACAAAACTGGAGATCCTACACTACATTGTCCTGGAGTGGCATGTCAAGGCATGGACCTTCACAGATGTTCATGAGGACTCCCGTTACCAGGCAGAGATGTTCTCGGTGAACTGCTTTTCCAGGTGGTGTGACTTAACCTGGCAGGCCGCTAAACACCACAGAGCTGTTCACTCACTCCCCCCCAGTGGGATGGGGGAGAGAATCAGAAAAAAGGTAAAACTCAAGGGTTGAGATAAAGACAATTTAATAGGACAGAAAAGGAAGGGAAAATAATAATAATAATGATAAAAGATTATACAAAACAAGTGATGCACAATGCAATTGCTCACCACCCGCTGACCAATGACCAGCCAGTTGCTCAGCAGCGGCCACGCCTCCCCTGGCCAACTCCCCCCAGTTTTTATACTGAGTATGACATCATATGGTAAGGAATATCCCTTTGGCCAGTTTGGGTCAACTGTCCTGGCTGTGCCCCCTCCCAGCTTCTTGTGCACCTCCAGCCTCCTCGCTGGTAGGGCAGTATGAGAAGTCTTTGACTTAGTTTAAGCACTGCTGAGCAACAACCAAAACATCAGTGTGTCATCAACATTATTCTCATCCTAAATCCAAAACACAGCACTACTATACTAGCTACTAGGAGGAAAATTTACTCTATCCCAGCTGAAACCAGGACACCAGGTAATGTTTATGCCAAAAGAAAGTCATCAGGTTCACAGCATATGTGAGGAGTTAAATGTTTAGAGATGGGCCACTCTGGCTTCTCTTTTTGCTTTGCTGAAAAAGAGAGAACTACTTTTCTTCTCTTGAAGAGGCAGATACAGCTCCCTCTTGCCTTACCAGATTTTCTCCAAGCTGATCGAGCTGCTAAAGGCAGCTGGGGGGGAAGCAGAGCAAATGGAGATGGATGAGCACCTATCCCATCCCTGTTCCTGATGAGAGGGAGCAGGGCTGGGGGGGTGGACAGTAAACCAGAGAGCCACAGCATCACAGAGGCAGCACGAAGCTGCTCTCCTCAACATGGGTGGCTGCTTTTGTCCCCCCAGTTTAGGTATTAAGCACAGCAGAAGCACGTGCAAGCAAGCCTTACTGGGAAGGAGAAAGGTCCCGCTCTTTCCTTGTCTGGCTCCCTTTCCTCAGACAGCACTGTTTTGGACGTAGGATGGAAATCTCTGTGCATCTGGAATTCTGCCCAGCAGGGTAAAAGGAAAAAAAGCAGAAGCGAAACCAGCCTGGTAAGATGATCGATCCTTTTATTGCTTGCACCAGTATCCAGAATCTCTCTCTGTCCCTACAAATCTCCTTGAACAATTTGTTTTGTTGTGATTTTAGCAGTCTCACCCACCTCAAGTGACATTTACCTGTGCCAGACAGGTTTCTTCTATAGGCCCATGCCATCCTCTGATACCAACAAAGTCTAGACTTTGAATGGCCCTTAAGGGTTCCAAAAGGAAATAGCATCATTATAGCACTGGCTATATGATACCAAGTTATCCAGTCCTAGTGTCATTCAACAACAAATTAACTTGATCCCTTTAAAAGTGGATCATAGTGCTCTCATTTACCAATGAATGAATTTATAATTGTAATTTATAATGTGGCCACAGAGAATTTTAATTAAAAAAAAAAATCATGATTGGCCCTTCTCTAAACTTACAGGTTAATACTATATTAAAGAACACTTCCTCTATCATATATTTAAAAAAAACACCAACAAAACTACATCAGAATTCTTAATACCATTAAATCATGTTAGACTGTTTAAACAATTGTATTTTCTTCTTGAACAATTAAGTCAACGTAACAAGAAAACAGCCAAAATTTCTGTTTCACAGTACATTAAAAATTCAGTTTTAATCCACAACTCATTTTTATTACCAGGAATGTCTTGCTTTGACTTAAACAAATTCATCCAATATTTATTACATCCCAAAAGAAGTCCACATTCTTTCAACTTACACATTAAATCAGAACTTCCACCTCATTTAAAGTCCTGAAAAACAAGCCATGTTCTGTGGGCCAGAAGAATTAATTTCAAACACAATTAACAAAGCTCAGTATTCCAGAGCCTCTGTATCTTTTCTGGTTGTATTTTTTCCCTTTTACGTGTAACTTGTGGCTGGGGGGGGAGGAGGGTCATATAATAAAAATGTAAGGTGTAACAAAGCTCAGTATTCCAGAGCCTCTGTATCTTTTCTGGTTGTATTTTTTCCCTTTTACGTGTAACTTGTGGCTGTGTTACGAATAGGCTATTACATGAAGTATGCAGGTATACCTTTTTGAAGGGGAAAGAGTAGCAAAAGCCCCTGCAATTTTCTCTTCCCCCCCCCGGAGGAATTGCCGACGACTACGCTGTGTGCGTACAAACCCGCCCGAGCAGGCCGCTGCAGGAGACACGCGAGCCCGGATGCTCCGGGGTGACCCCGGGGGCAGGGCGGGGCCAGGCAGCAGAGGACCAGCTTCGCCACCGAGCCGTGCGATTGAAAGAGCTTATTGTGATTGGCTGATGGGATTCGAATTAGTAACCAATACTGGCGTGGGATTTAAAAAGGACCAATTACAAAGCCGTTCTCACCTCAAGAGACGTCACTGGCTCCCTTATCCAATAGAAGCGCTGATAGCTGAGGCCAGCGATTTGCATAAGGCCCCTATAAATACGGGAGTAATCGTATTATCGAGTACTCGGGTGCTCCAGAGCAACGAGGCTGTTTTCGCGATGCCCGAGCCGGCCAAGTCCGCCCCCGCGCCCAAGAAGGGCTCCAAGAAAGCCGTGACCAAGACGCAGAAGAAGGGCGACAAGAAGCGCAAGAAGAGCCGCAAGGAGAGCTACTCGATCTACGTGTACAAGGTGCTGAAGCAGGTGCACCCCGACACGGGCATCTCGTCCAAGGCCATGGGCATCATGAACTCCTTCGTCAACGACATCTTCGAGCGCATCGCCGGCGAGGCCTCGCGCCTGGCGCACTACAACAAGCGCTCCACCATCACCTCGCGGGAGATCCAGACGGCCGTGCGGCTCCTGCTGCCCGGCGAGCGGGACAAGCACGCCGTCTCCGAGGGCACCAAGGCCGTCACCAAGTACACCAGCTCCAAGTAGGGCGTCTCGGATCGTCACTATTTTTCTTGGGAGGTACGTAAACAGCCTGTTGATTTGCATGTCACTAGAAAGTTAAGTACTGGTCTCTTTAGGTAGCTGAAATGTAGTTGCTTAATTCTGAAGCACGGAGGGCTCTGGGTGTAACGGCCTGTGCTCGGCATAGAGGGTTATACCTGGCTGTTTTAACGTTTAAAAATGAGTAGGTGCTATTAGCTCTGGTCTCGAACGTGGCTAAAAAGCAGCAGCAACTTTGTCCTAGCGTTTTACCAGCTCCGTTTTCAGAACTCGCAAGTCCTGCGGGGGGAGGGTAGGTTGTCTTTTACTTCTAAAGATTTGAATTCTTCTTACTTGATAGGTCCGGTAGAAAATCCTAGATGCTATTAAAAACTCGCTTTCTGTGCACTGTACCTGTGAAATAAAAAAGAATTTCTGCCTCTTTCGGTGACTAAAGTATTCTGAAAGCAGTTTCTGAGGCAAGCCTTCCAGGCGTGTTTGTAGCTTCATTTCTTTTTTTCTCATACGTTCCAGCGCGGCCTCCACCACCACTACCGCTCTTCTCAGCGAAGTAGCTGTCCGTACTCGATTAGGCAATAGGGAAAGGTTTTTCTTTACGAAGCGTTTTACGGTTTAAAACACCGATGCCCAAACTTGTGCAGGAGTTGGGGTTTTTTTGTTGTTGGTTTGGTTTGGGCGGGGAGCGTCAGAGCTTGGAGCCACGGCTCTCCCCGCCCCGCCGCGCCGGGCCAAGTTCCGTCCGCGGAAGCTGCGCTGCCGGAGAGAGGAGAGAGCTGCGGGGCAACGGCAGAGCCGGGGCACGGCGCACACATTTCCCCATCCCTGACCGATACCCGGCCCCGGAGCCCGTGAGAAGGGGGAAGGGGGGCCGATGCG